GTACGACTGCAAAAATAAACTTATAAGTCAATCTTACTATGGACCGACTATTATGTCTGCTGAAGATGATAAACTTCAAATAAAAAATCCTGAAATGCATCATATTCCTATAAGTGTTCCTTGTTATGCACATGCACTTTCGTTAGACTTGTCTCGTTCTCTAGAAAACATATTAGAGCTTAAAGTCTTCTTCGGATATATAAACTCTATAGTGCGTTTCTTGAACAAATCTACGAAAATCTCTACAATGTTTGAACTTTTTAGTGAGCGTTCCATAACTGAAGTAACTGAAACTGAATGCCACTTGCACTCGCGAATAGTTACTGTTGTATATAGTCTTAGATCAGATATAATGCAAACGTTGAATTTTATTTTAACAAGTTTTGAAAATTGGGATAATGAAACTATTTCCCAGGCTGAATCTTTATCAAATACATTCGAAGATAAGCATTTTAATTTTTTATTGTGTGTAATATCCGAAATTTTTACAAAAACAGACACACTCTTTAATGATAGCGAGAATAGCAATGTCAGTATTGATGCCGGAGCTATAGAGGATTTTTTGTCTTGGATCAATTTCAAGTTTGTGAATAAATTGGATAATTTTCTAAAGAAAGTGAACGATTTGGTTTATCCTTTTTATAACCAAAGAAAGTTGCATGTTGAAATGGAGTCTAGGAGTCATTATAAAAAATTATTAATTAATATTAAAGAGAATATAATGTGCCAAATTAAATATAGGTATAAGTCTTTCAATAAACTGAGTTTTTTAAATTTAATGAACAAAGACAAATATGATTCATTCAGCAAATTATTTCCAGAGGAATTACTTAATGATCTCGTCTCTAATTTCAAAGGAGTTTTTCATTTTTCTGCTTTAAAAAATGAATTAAACATTTTGTATACAACTGCGAGTTTAAAAGAAAAGCAAGACATATATGACATATATCTTCACATAAGTAATGATGTTATAAAAGATATATTCCCTCAATTATTAAAGTTATGTACTATATTTTTGACCTTACCCATTCCAATTGCCTCTATAGAAAAATCTTTCTCAGCGCTTGAGAGGATTAGGACTTATTTACAAAACTCTCAATCAAAAAGTAGATTACCCATTTCATCGCTTATTTCAATAGAAAATAAATTACTTTTAAATATTAGAAATAAGCCGTCCTTTTATAATGACGTTTTGTCGGAGTTTTTAAAAATGGATCACAGAATAGCGCTGGAATATAAATAAGGGGTTTTTCTTTTAGATTTTTTTTTAAATTAAACTAAACCAAAGCTATAAAACCAACAATTGACTCAACATTTATAGACTAATCTAATTGCTAGAAAAATAATATAAGTAATATAATATAATTAAGTAAGTATAAGTATATGAGGTAAACTATAGACGATATGCATTAGATAGTGCAAATTTTTTCTTAGTTAACCTGGGTTTAGATATATGTGAGCTAATTATATAGTTCCAGTAATCAATGTAAATTTTTTTATATTAAATTTGTTTATAACCTTATAACCTCATTTCACTTAATAGAAGCTATTCTATTTAATGAAGAGGTTTCGAACATTACTGAATTGCAACAACAAACATTTTTATTTATTTTTAATTAATTGCACTTTTGGTTGAACTTATAGTTCGAGTATTGCCAAATACTTATTATCAGTGGTCTTGGAAATATTTCTTATATTTAATTATGTGAAAATAATTTTTTGAGGCTGCAAGAATCAAGAGATGAATTCGTGTCCTGCCAAGTTTGAAACTCAGAGTCAGTGTTCGTTTTAGCCAACTGACCCAAATCCGAATTTGACTTGTATGTTCGAACTTAGAGTTTTGTTAATTTTCTGTGAAACTTTATTAGCAAATTCACTAACTACGTTATATTAGAACGAAATCATAAACCAAAGAAGTAAATCTTTTTATAATAACAAATTTTCGTAATTTGTTTAATGTACTTTCAATGATCAGTCTATATTAACTCTTTGTTTTATATGATACAAACTCTTTTGGAAAAGTATTCCTGCTTTCTGCCCAACTTTTAAGTTTATTTAGTTTAGTTTATTAAGCCTACTGAGATTGCTATTTTGCCTTTGTATTAATGCACTACGACTCTTAAATGTAAGTCCCTTTTATTGTAATACTGCGAAACATTTCCCTCCAAAAACATTGCCATACTATGCACCACAATATGTCTTTGGATATAATTTAAATAACTTGTTTTTGGTTCGGCTTTATAATAACTCTAAATATCTCTAGAATGTTCTAAAAGTACTTACTTTAAAATTCATTTATACTATTGTTATAATTGACATTAAGTATACCCAGACTAGTTTGAATAATTATATTTTTTAGAATTGTATACTTTTACTTCTTTTTTCTTACTTTAAATACAACTAAATTTTGTTTTACAGTCTCCTACGCAACTATGTTGGGAATTCTGAAGTAGTATGTGCTGAGTCTTTCAGGAAAACACTATGAACGTTACTATGTCAACCAAAGAATACTAACAAACATTATATAAAATTTTTGGATCCGCATGATTTGTAAAAGATAATGCCGTTTACAAAAAAAAATTTACGCTAATAATGTTGAATGAAGTTATATTTTTAAAGAAACCTTGGAAACTTGGCTGAACAAAGGCAAAGATCGAACACATCAAACTAAATTTATTATATAGTAGGATAAGGGTAATGTCCCTTTTATAAAAGCCAAAATCAACATGGCTTCTTTATGATATGTGTTGAACACTTGAAAACTATGGAAACGTAATGAATGAATTAATTAAATTGAATAAAATTAAACTAATAAAATATTTCATTATAGGTAATCGAAATAAATGTGGAATCTACAAACTATTGTTATAAACCCAGAATGTAGAATGCGTATTACTTTGCTGTTATATTTCAGGAATTAAAATAATTTTTATAAACTAAATTTTACTGCTATTATGTTGAAGCTATTTGAGCCAGTGCACTTGAGCACTTTTACTTTTTATTAACTCGAGGTATCTTCAAAACCTCTCTTTACACCTTGACTGGATTATTGTTTATCACTTCATCAGACTAAGCAATAATTGACCTCAGATCTGCATAACTTCGCGAGGAGTCTGTAACCATTCTGAGATTCGATAATGCGGTGTTGGTAAATCTGTCAGTTTTCGCAAATATTTTCACCGCGCTATCCTTTATGTATTTTTTGATCGGTTCAGTCTTGAGGTCCCTGAGGATGTCATTCGTCCTAATGTACCATGATATTGTTGATATTACAAATTTGTAACCATGGACGAAATTTATAATATGTTGCAATGATATGAAATTATAAACCTCCATTAAGCCAGGTTAGGTTGCGAGTACTGTGATAATACACGTATCAATACTTCTATACGAAAACAACTATTTAGGATATTCAAACATTGTCACTTCAAGTGTCCATTACTCGAAATATTATCTACAAAACCTGTAATGTAACGTAAGGTTCTAAAAGCAATGTATGTACCACCTCCGATTGTAAATGGATTTAAGTAATAAATTGAAGAATGCTGGTATTAGAATCTTTGATTGCATTGTTCTTATGAACGGTAACGATGACAACAGGGTTTGTCGACAAGAGATAGTGGTGAGTATTGTATTGTACATTATATTTGATAAACCTTGATTAGAAAAATTCAATACTAATGAATACTTTTTAGTATAATTGCTGCGTTTGAATGAAGAAATACAAAAGATACGATCTGCAAGGTAATATAAGAAAGCATCGTTCTCTTAATTTAATGGTTTAATGTAAGAACGGAAAGTACTATTCCATTAATTTAATGCTGTAAGTCACAAATCGATGATAGTGATGGAAAAATTATTATTTCCAGCGATTATTAACTGTATGTCGGCAAAAAAATATTGAGAAATGGAATCGAATTTTCAATTGTTTTTTTTCAAGCTATAAACAGAGCATGTTTCATTAATTAGACAGCTTAAAAACACAACATGAACTAATGACTACATGCAATCTGAGCAATGGTATATGATATAGATCAGGGCTGTCCAGACTAGATAAGATCGTGGCCCAATACAAATCACTGAATAGCTTGGAGGGCCGCAGAAATAAATACATACGTTCATAATTTTTCTGAAGAAAAATAAAAATACATCACACCCATGAACCGTGCTTTGGACAGCACTGATATAGATGAACGCTCCTAGATGTATTACTTGGAAATAAAATCTGTCGAAATATTTTAAGGATATAACACGAAGTCAATACAAAGGGTATTGTAATTATGTGTTAAACGTACTAATTAAGTGTGATACATTTTCTTATTTAATTGGCTTAATCAAGAAAATTAGTATTGGCTTAAATAATTACTTAAAGACAGAGAGCACAAACAAAATAATTGAAAGTGAAATCCTAGGAACAGATAAAAAAAACTTACCAAAAATGGTTAATTTGTGGAGTAAATGATGTGTTAAAGTCTATCGTTCTAATACTACTGAACCGACATGACAAAAAGCAATGATGTCTGGAGAAAGATTTTTCAGTAGATCAAATCCAGTGCTACTTGATGAACGTGCAAAACCAATATAAATAAAAAATTGCATCTTGATTTTTAATATAATAAAATAATTTTGCAGTTTATGATAAATAAAATCAATCTTTATAAAATGTATAATATATTTTAAATATAAAAATATACTGTGCTTACAAAATACTTATTTATAAAAAACTGGAATATGAATTTGAAACAAGGTCTTTTATTAATTGTTGGTTTTCTAAGGACGCGCTCAGCCATAAGAAAATTTTTGAATGTTTAGTTAATCAGTCAATTGTGCAAAGTCCTATACGAAATCATATTAAAACACGGCAATGGACATTTCTATGGCATCATGTTCAGTAGAGCCCTCTTTCCAAGATCCATTTATGGAATCGTTTTTTTTTTCATATCAAATTTACATCGACATGTCTTGTAATATAGTCAACCTCAGTGCGATAGAATACAAATGCGACCTAATAGCTCACCGCATAGATATAGTACTCTCTTCGAGACTACGGATGTATAGTAACGAAGTTCGACCGAAATTGATTGAAATGCAATAAAATAATAATAATAAAAAGTGATAAAAACTTGAAGGTCTAAAATTTTATTGAGTCTTGTAACGACTCAATAATATTACTTCTCATTAAGCCCTTAAATTCTATGAGGGATATAAAAGTGTTTTCCACATTTGGTAAAATTGTGTTGTCTTTTCAATTCAATCCCTACATAATCACTAAAATCTTGATCGATAGTTAGACCCTGGGTACAATTATCCAAATTAAAAACTTTATAATGAATATAGTATTTATAGTTTTGTGGAGGTTGAAAGAAGAATTAGACAGCGAACGTTATTGCAGTGAGTTAAATCACTTTTTTTTACCTCTAAGTTAGTCTTAAACATATAAACTAGTCAAATTCATTTTTTAGTAATTTTATAGAAATATATTTATTCAAGTACTATATTGTCACAAAATATAATTTTAAGCTTAAAAATATTTTTTAATGAATGCAGTTGATATATTACAGTGGCACTACTAAATGTAGTGGCGTATACGGATCGGGGGCCCAAAATGCTTCAGACCATTTTTGACTTGATATATGGATTTTTTAATTAAGTGTTTTCATTAAAAAAACTTTCCTTAACATAGTCTCTGTATACGTCCCTGACTATGTGTGATTATAATATGTGCGGCACATCAGTCCATATAAAGGCTATATACGTCCCTGACTATGTGTGATTATAATATGTGCGGTACATCAGTCCATATAAAGGCTGCTACAGTTTCGATAGAACCGAAACTTGTATTATTGCTCACCACAGTTTTTTTCATTCTGTTTTATAATCCTTACTACAATCCTTATGAGTAGAAAAAATTAAATAAATGATAGATGGATGGATTGTGTAGGGTCTATATAATATATATATTTAAATGAAAAAGTTTGAAAAATATATTAACAAAACACTATAAAAAATTTTTTAATATAAAATATCAAATTAGTTCTATTAGAAATTGTGGTATTTAGATAATGTACCTTATTTTCTCTTGTCCGAGTTTAAATATGGTAAACAGAATTAATATTTGAGTTTGATCACATCAACACTTTTAATCATTTTGACTACATAGATATAAAAAATAAAATTAAATATAAACTTAATTCATTTTATAATTGAGATTGTGATTACCATTCGTAAGAGGACCCTCTAATACCCATGTCGTTAAAGTTTTCAACTATTATGAAATAAGACATCATAAATAATAATATATAATCTTCATATAGTATCAATGCTCCCAGTAAACTATCTTTGGTACGCATTTGGGCATAACGACCGCCAGTTATAGTCTGTGTATGATAAGCCATGAACTGAAATTTAAACGGAACTTTATATATTTTATTAAAGAGAAAAGTTCAAATTCTCACCATTATTATCGTTATTCCACCAAGAAGTGTATATAGATAATAACTGATTTTAGAATTAATCATCGCGAATAAGCCCACAAGAAATACTGAACCTATGAATAATATAATTGCAACAACAAATAGAGCGATGATATCAACGGTCATGTCGTACTGAAAGTAAAAGAATAAAGTTTTACAATTTTTTCAAAATTATATAAATTATATAGTAAAAATATTGATTTGTTAATTTTTAAATTAATTAAATTCAAGAATAATTCTAATTTGCGAAAATGAGTAATATTCCAGGGTGACCCAATTGAACGACAACTTTCGAAAAGACCGAATTTTTTTTGATTAAAACTAATATTTATTAAATGAATACAAAAATAACGTTGAAAATTGTTTAAAATTTGCAATAAAGCTGTCTAGAGAAATGAACACTCGAAATCTTCTTCAATTTAGGTGCAGGGAGTTTTTTAAGCACATCAGCACTCTGGTATTGGTGCTGACTTTGATCAGTAGGTAGAAAGAATTGGCAGGCAGAGAATATTTGACAGATTCGAAGCGATACCAACTTAGAATTCTTAGAGGCAATTATTTAAGATATGTATCAACGGTGAGTTTTGGGAGATAGTTTATTTCAACATCAGGAACGAACTCTACTCCCTCAAAACTAATAGCTCTACTGAACATCATTCGATGTCACATTTTATGCACTCGTCATTGCTGGTGATTTTTAGATTATTTATTTGTATTGCAACCATAAAATAACCTGTTAAATACCAACTGTCATTCTGTAGTTTTTTGTATCGAACGACATAGGACTAAGTACCTTGCTTATTTGGTTCTACCACTTAAAGATTTCATCCACTAGTTGTAATGATAGGTAATGATAGGATTTAGTGAATATGAAGGGTACTATGCAAATAAAATGAAATGTAGAGCTTTGTCTCTCATGTATTGTGGGTTCATGTGAGTTTTGCAGGACCGTCTACTCCCTTTCTCCTCTACAGGACACCTACAAAAAACTTAACGACCTTTGACAGGAATATCAGACCGTCACAGTTGACATTGCTTGACGTTTTGTGAACATTTGAATATCTCCATTTTTACACGATCTCTGTGTTAAATAAATTTATTCTTTTGGGAAATTTTTCGGGTGCGATAATTAGAGAAGATAATACATGACCTTCATTTATGTTGAATATCTATAAAACTTGGAACTTCAAACTTGTTAACTTCCTTTTGAGTACGTTTTTTACTTTTTGTTGCTTTCTAATTTTACGATATATTCAACTAAAAAATTGCTTCTACTACGTAGCGTATTTCGTTGAATACAATTTTTAGTATTCCAATCTACTTCTTTCAAAGGTACAATTTTTTACCAATAACCAATATATGATATTGCAATACTGTCATTTATATAATAACGTTTTATGCTGTCATTAGCTGAAATATGGATATAATTTTATTCCTAGTTCAAAAATTTATGACTGTTTAAAATTATTTAAAATTCAATTGGGTCATCCTATATATTCTCTAACATTCAATAGAATATTTATAGGGCTATATCATATAATCTGTTAATTAACAATACAATAATAGTGTTTTGAGAAATGTGATAAATACCAATATTTAATTGCTTTAATATACAGTCAACCTTCCATAACTCGAACTTCTATAACTCGAATTTTCTATAACTCGAACTAAAAACAGTGCACCAAGGTTTTAGAAAGCAAATTACATACAATTCTGCTTCCATAACTCGAACTTCTATAATTCGAATTTCTCTATAACTCCCAGAATGAAGTAGAAGACTCATTCAAAATTCTGAATTTATATTTGTAAACGAATGATATTACAACTGATGATCACTATAAAAGTATGAATAAAGTGCAATCTCTTTTTACTGAAAATAAGAAAAAAATTAAAGTCCCAAACCCTAATTTCTGAATACTTTCCTTCACTATAACTTCTATGCTTTATTTGAATGCAAATAAATAAATATTTTAAAATGTAATTCTAGTTTCTTTCAAAAATAAAAATTCTGTAACTCGAAGTCTCCATAAGTCGAATCTTTTCTTTGCAAAATTGGACTTCGAGTTATGGAAATTTGACTGTATTTATATTTATTTTTGTTTTAATTTTTGAGTCGTTACTTCGAAATTGTTTAAATGCGGTTATTTCTGTTTTTTAAAATATACTAACTTTTATTTCGAAAGTTTTTTTGTGTATCTCTACACGTGTTTCGGCAAATTCGCTTTTGCCTTCATCAGGAGAATTCCTAATATTGTATTTATATATTATTGTATTTATATATTTTTTCGATTGCTACTCCTCCGTTAAGAAGTTTTTATTAATAAGTTTCGATAAGTAAAAATAAATTTATACATATGAGTTGCATATTTTTAGGGGCAAAAAAATGAATCTGCCAGGTGAATTTATTGCAGTTGCATTGTCAAGGAATTATGCAATAGGGAATCTTATTTTAAGACTGGACACTTAAGTATGAACGAAAACTGAGAAAAATTATTTAGAAGTAGATCTAAAGAAGTTAGACCCTTACACTATATGGTATTACACAAAATATTCCTCATAAAGTTTTGCGTTCTTTATAAAATTAAAGCGAGCTAATACTTTAACCAAATGTCTATTTCTTGTATAGAAATTCTGCAGATTTGTTGTAGAGCAATTTAAGATAGAGACTTTGTTTTTAGGTAAATTTTATCGATAGAGTTTATTTCATGTCAGTATTTGAAGAGAAGAAACCCACATGCTCTAAATGAAATAAATTGTACTATCACAATAAATAAAAGCTTGATGTGGTTTACACGAGTAGTCTAGAGATGGCATTGAGCTGTATTTTTTTTTTAAATGAGTTGGGCATTATAAAAATCATTAAATTTAACGGTGTAAAAATATGGTTACTGATATTTTTAATATTACAAATTTTATGGCAAGAATTCGATTATTTTAGTTAGGATGATATCTCACTTCAACAAGAAGACAACGGCAGAAGGGCTAATAGAGTATAGAACCGTTTCAAATATGTAACTTAGATATAATTTTTTTATAAAATCTGGGCTTGTATTACAAAATTTCGACTAGAATTTCTGTTTTAACACCAAAACAACGGCAGAATGGTTAATAGAACAAAGACCCATTTCAAATATCTATTCAAGATATAATTTTTTTAAAAAATCTGGGCTTGGATTACAAGATTTCGACTAAGATATCTAGTTCAACAAGATGATATCGGTAGAAATGACGAATTGACTAAAGGTACCACGTTTCAAATATGTGACTAAGATATAATTTTGTTTTAAAAAATGGGTATATGGGTAATGACTCGGCAATGTCGCATATTGTACGAATATATAAATAATAGTTTTATAAAAATCTTGTACAAATTTGTGTATGTATCATGAATATAGAACGAAATTCAAAGAAATAAGAAAACATATCATGTAAATAAATTGTACTTACAGTACAGAATGTTGCAGCAATAATGACAATAAGAGTTACTATTGTTACAATTAAGAAATTTAATAAGAAAAATTGGATTTTCTCCTCCATAATCAGTACAGCAAATCCAATTGTTGTGCATTCAAACTATAAAATTTAAATATTATATATATATATAGTAGTATTTCAGTAAGTTCGAAATAGTGAAAAAATCGTTAAAACATCATAAACTTACAATGAGTAACACCATTACACAATTCATCGGTGCCTTGACTCGACAGTTATCGCAAAACACGAAACACGTTACCATTACCATGGCTAACATCAAAACGACGACGGCGACCACATAGTTCCGCCTTAAAGGCGCGGCTAACACGCATCTAAAATATATATTCTTATATATACATATTCAAAAATTAATAAGACGAATCATACATTGTGACTAGTGGCATCCATTGAGCTACTGTTAGTAGGATAAGACAAAATGATATACCGAAAACTGCTAGAGCAAATTTTGTTCGACGATGAGTATGATCTTCTTGCTCCATTTCACATACCCTTAGAAATATGGTATATATCCTCAGTAATCTACAACCTTGAAGTTCATAGGTGTGACTACATTGTACGTTAAGTTTTTGGGATTGAAGCTTCTTAGCAATGGCATCTATTTTCTTCGTCAACTCTTTGTCAACTCTTAATTCTTAATCAATATTTATTTTATTAATTGTCAAATGTGGTCAATTATAATAATTCAATATTATTTACAAGTCACTTTCGCTTGGCTAATTAAAATACATTAATTCAGGAAAACTTAAAATTTGGAAAAAATTGCATATAATTTTTTTTACAATATATAAATAAGATTTTTAACTAACTTCCTACTATGTTTTAAACAATAATGTTTAATTATTATACGATATATGTTTTAAAACTATCGTTATGCGATATCAGAATCGAAGAAGACTGTTTGGATAGCCTGATAATAATTAAGGTCTGTAACTCTCATCAGTTAACTTGAATTCTGTCTTAATAAGCTAAATATCTTATACATTTGCGATCATATTATTAGATATTCATATATCTCTGAAATAATCACGAAAAGATTCTATTAATTTTAGGTCACGTTGGGATTTTCGGTAATGATATAGGAGACAAGAGTGCTAGAAAAAAACAGCCTCGGTATTTGTAAATCTGTATAATATGCTTAAATATATGCTTAAAATATAATATATGCTTAAAATCTTGCAAACTCTTTAAAAAAGGTATTAACTATTATCTAAAGTTATATTATATTGTAATTATATTGCGTGATGTATACTTGGTCAAACCTTTTCGAATTGATCTGATATGCTATATGTACACATATACAATGATAATAAAATATCATTGTTTACAGTAAAAGGGGGCATATATTTTGGTAATAGTTCTTTAGTATTTTGTCAGAATAGACAGTGTTGACTGAGCATTTTCTGTCATAAATCTTCTAGGAAATGTAATCGTCCATAATACTCTGACTCCGCTTGCAATAATTTCGATTAAATGGGGAAGAGATTGATCTACTTCAATAGAAGAAGATTGAAAATTCTATGTGAACTCGTCAAAAATTGTTCGATTTTTAACTTGTATAGCCCCTTTGAATTAAATTTTGGTTACCGACCTATGTGAATGGTACTTTAGTTTTTTGTTTGTAAATAGGAGTAACGCGAGACCACGATAGATTTGGTTCATTGTGACATATTTCCAATATCAACATTAGAGATATTAATAGTGAGTTGAAGTTGTGAACTATAAGTCCAAATTGGTTCTAAATAAACAGCATATATATATATATATATATATATAGCAAAACTTGTGCAATGCGAAATGATGAGAATTAGAGTATGGTATAGTTTTGGTTTTAAAGCTAATGAGTCGATTGATAGAAAATTTTTGTTGTTGTTGATAGTAAACGATGGGACTTGTACGATGGAAAAGCATGAGCTGTAAGATAGAATAAGGGCAAAGAATATCGTTAGTCTTAAGAGTGCTGAGTCGACTGATGCTTGATTGTTGTTGTTGTGGTTCAAGCTATTTTAAAAACACAACAAATACAAGGATGACAAATCTTGCACAATGGGATAGACTGGTATAAGGTTGGATTAGGTCAAGCAAGTATGAATTTCTTTGATATTTATACTTGGAAGTGTAGAATTATTATTACTTTTCTACAATTAACTTTTCTATTCTAGCTTTATCATTTCTTTAACAAATATACATAATATATACGATAAAATTCGTCATATTCCTTTGAGTAATTCAGTAGGCTTCTCAATGACTTCGCCACTCAATGACACTTTATGACACTTTATGGTTAGGAATCGTATTGCAAGGAATCTTCTCTGTTTATAGAAAATACTTGTAAAATAAAAGAACAAATAAATTAATTTAATAAGTAATTTAATATTTATTTTTATTTTGTATTATTTGAATTAATTGAATTTGCATTTAAAAGCACACAGTTTGCACACACATTTTTATATATATATATTTATTATTATACATAATACTGATAATTATTATAAAACTTTTACTAAATTTGTAACTTGTTATAATTTAATTAAATTAATTAAAATTTTTATATTAAGCTTACAATACTGTCGCTTAAATATTAATATATTTTATTAACTCATCATGGTTTAAGCACAAAACTTTATATTGGAACTTTTATTGATAGCACAGCAGTTCAAATTTTAGTAATACATGCAGATTTTTTGAAATTTAATATTTAATATTAATATTATAATTAATTAATTAAAATATTAATATTAGTTTATTTATAGATTAAATTTTTTAAAATAATTAGTTCAATTACATCAAATTAAATTAAAGAAACTCTCAGAGAGATTCAGGTGACGTTGCTATTGAGGCCATATTTTCAGAATCACTTAATGGCTGAGTTGGTGATTCTGAAGATTCAAGTGAAGTTGAGGCTGCAATAGGTTTCAGTATAGCAGATTTGCCTTTTAGTTGATTTGAGTTCATTTCCTTCCGCGCTGATTTATGTGTCGCTAATATGTGTGTTGCTCTTCGTGTGTAGCTTTCATTACTGTCGGATGAGCTGAGCCCTGTTGATATATTCCTTCTACAACGGATTTGTTTTATTGGATGATTGCATATGAGCTTAGGATTATCGAAATTTCTTAAAACACCATCCCAATCAACTTTTCCTGGTGTTTGTACTTCTTCGGCGTCTGAAAATATATTACAATAATCTGTAAACTGATATTCATCGGTAGGCGTTGGTACTTGAAAGACAGTGTTGGTGAAAGAGCAATTCTCAAACAAGCTTGTTACTGGATCTAAGTAACGTTTCCCATGGTATACCGTACTTGTTTGTTTACTTGGTGAATTGTTGTTCTTAGTCGCTTTTGAAACTTTTTTTGGGAGCTTTGTTCCAAATTCGGTAGATGGTGTTTCTTTAAAAGTCGATGTAGTTTTTAAAGATGATTTGAATACTTGAGTATGAGAAACAGGAATTCTAATACTGTCTACTGCAATGGTATTACTAGCAATAGCAGTATGTCTTGCGGGATATATGTGAAATGTGTTCATTTGCTGTTGTTCTTGCTGATCGATTGGAATTGTGATGTAGGCTGTCTGTCGTATATGTTCAGGGGTTTTCGTTTGTGTCGACAAACAGATTGGTGGCAAAGTTATAATATCTCTTGTGGAATAGTAGGGTGTGAGTTGCAAAGAAAAGCATTTATTTTTCGTCGTTGGATTTTGTACTTCGAACCGTTCATAACCTACATAAAGAATATGTTTATTAAAGAGAAGTAGACTTTGATATGTTTCTGTACTCTATTTTATGAGAAAGCATGCTTATGTGGAACTTAGCGCTAATGCTGGCATTTATTGACGATTACACTACCTTTGTTTCATACCTTCCACTGATTCTTCATACACTTCACTTATGGGTTGTGTTTCTATATTTCTACGATTCGGTATGGTTTTACCATACGAGTCAACTTTACTGTCTGTTACGTTTGAGTCCAAAGTTGTTTGTACAACTACATCCATATGCGAATCTAAAGAGAACTGCTTACCTGTGGAATGTATAATAATATATATTATATTATATTGTATATTAATATAATTTTATTTATATTATTTTTTTTCATAATGTAATGGTAGCTTCCTTTGAAATCATTAGAATATTCTATTATTCGAAACTATTTCCTTATATCAAGCATGATACTTTTTTATATCATGCACAGTACCAATTAAATGGACGGTACTACTTAAATGTGCTTTAAATATGTGGCCTGAAGAAGTAAAGGTATTCGCAAAAATTTTATATTGGTCTAAAAGAAGTTCTTGTTAAAAAAGATATTCGGGCTATAGAACCTGAACTGAAAGTAGTAGACTACTCGCATCAATTGACTTTTAAAAACTTTTAAAAAATCGATACACTACCTAGAGAACCTGGATTAAAAGAAGTAAATCTCATCTATACAGTTTTTATAGATTTTGAAAAAATTGTTATTAAAATAACAATTTTTGCAAAAAGTTATTAATTTAATTAGTGCGTCAATCTCCAAATAGATAAAAACATGGATAAATATAGAGTGAGAAAGAGCAGAATTTTACGGCATCTAGTAAATATACCACAATAATCATTGTTTTATATACCGCTACTATAAAACCTATTAAAATATATATTTCAAATTTTTCAAATTAATATCCATAAAGACACTTAGTGCCCTTAAGTAGCAATTCTTTGGGATATGGTAACTGGATGTAGAATTGTGTTTTAATTATTGAAGGCACATCTAATAGTTGAGCATACTCTCTTTAACCACAAACCACGTTAACTATGCTCACGCATAATCTACTCTCCAAAACTGAATATGAAATTGGGTATTATATATTATTATTCAGTTCAGAACTATGATATTGTGCTGTAGTAGAATAAATTCGGGATCCGTTTTGTAAATAATATATATGTAAATTAAAAATTTTTTAAATACATATTTTTATATAACATTTTAAATGATATATCAACTTACCAGACATTAGAATTCCTCGAACTCTCCTGCGCATTGAAGGCGATTCCTGATGCTATATTAAGCAACACAATGATTAATAATTGAAAAGAAAATATTTCATAATTAAATATATAAATAAATATAAATTTATTTACATTTAAATACTTACAGCTATTCTGATGCCAGCATAGGTTTTTGCTAGAAACTCATCAGCGTCAAATATCGCGGCAAAAGAACCATTCACTATTTTTGGAGACATTGGAGAATTAGAAAGCAAAAGACTTGAACCAAATGCTTCACTCTTGTCTTTGGTGTCTTTAAGGAATGGAAAGTAATAAATATTTACTAAATATTTGTAATTACATTTACCTTTTAAGTATACTTTATTCTTATTCATTATTGTTATATTCATTTCATCTAATATAATGGAAGCCACTCGTCTTATTTCATTCCAATCCTTGAGTATATCATCAACAGTTGTGTGCGTCGAGGTGACTGTGAATCGAATGACATATTTACCTTTTAGTGAGGATGGTATACAGTGCAGAAATCCACGGTGGTTTAAACGTTTTAATAATCGCTCAGTTATTTCATTGTCTCCCTTAATACGAAAAACTACTAAGCCTGAAATTAATAAATATTTTTATTAATATTATATACATCTGAAAGAATATTTACCTTAGAGAATATTTACCTTACCTTACCTTATATACATCTGAAAGAATATTTACCTTAGAGAAATATTTACCTACATATATTTAAGTAGTAAATATAATATTATATATAAGCAATTCACTCTAATGAACCCAAAATAAGTTTGGAGTACCTAAAATAAAATTGGCCACTCCAACTCGAACCTATTAGTTCGATTAACGGATATTAAAGGATCGGATAGGACAGAGAGAGAGATATAGAGAGAAAAAGGGAGAGAGATAGAAAGAGAGAGAGCATGAACATTGTTTATGTTCAGGATGTCTTAACCCAATAATCTCAATATACTTTTCATTTGTCTTTTCTTAAGTTAAATTAGATGTAAACAATGGTAAATCTAAGAATGGAAGGAAACAAGCTGGAAGGAACAGTTACAAAGAATATCGTAAAGGAGTCAAGATACTGACGGTTAAAAGTCACAAATATTTTTTCTATATTTTATATTTCTATATTTATGTATTCTATATTTATATTTTTCTACTACATTTATAGGTACTGCAGAAAAATCTAGAACCTACCCAAATATCTTTTGGCTGGTATCTCGAAACGGTGGTCTGCTAAGACCAATGCCTCAAATTTCTGCGCTAAGCGGACACCTTCACGTATGTGACGTTGTAAGCCTTTAATGCCAAACGAACGTAGAACGAACCAAATTTTAAGTGCTCTAAATCGACGACTCAATGGAATTTGCCAATGCATATAATCAACAGACACACCGGAATTTTCATGTTGTAAGTACAAAGGTTCTACATTAAATGTGCGATGAACTGCCGTGCTGTCCTTTATCCTATAATCAAATTGAGTTTAGTAATCATATTCCATTATTTTTAATAATTAATTACCATAATGCAGTTGCGTCAAAATGTATCATTAACCACTTTGAAGGATTAAATGCTATTGAGTCCACATACTCTATACCTTTAAGCCAAGTACGAAATTCTGGACAGATAAAAGCACTTCCAGCATAGGCAGCATCGACATGTAGCCACATATTATATTCGCGACATACGACTCCAATCTAAAAAAATATGGTTTAATGTATAGGTAAACAGCGGGGAATTTATTTTTACTTACCTCATCTAGATTATCAAAAGAGCAAGAACCGGTAGTACCAAGTGTAGCGCAGACCTATTGTGTTTTCAAATAGACGTCTTAGTATTTGGAATTAAGTTATATATAATAATATCAAATTTATAATAAAAAATATTATATTTATAAAAATAAGAAAAAAGAGCTTGACATAGAGAACTCCAAAAACATATTTCTAATATATATTTTATTCAGTCAATTATATTGGTTCCACTAAGTAATATTATGAAAGAAATTTGATTATCATGGTAGGAATTGGAGATAAAAAAGCATACTACATAGAGGTACAGAATAGCCAAATCGAACTGATATTGAATTCTCCTGTACCAACAGATAATAATGTTCAAAAAAATTTATATTTTTCGAACTTATTTCGAATTTTTGATATGTTCATCTTGATCAAGAAATAAGACACACACTAAATGAATATAATCCTAAATATATATATATACTTCATTCATTCATGAAGAAGGGCTTTGTTGAGCATATCAACACTAGTATTACAAAGAAGTTGATCAGGTTTGCATCTAGTGACCGTAGAAATTATGAGTGGATCTTTTTTTAGTAGTCATTCTTGATTGGCTGAAATTTATGAGACGACTAAATTTTACTGAAATGTTCACTCTCTGGCACTCAAATATTTGATTGTACACGGTTTCATACCGATATTCAAAATTTTTTTGGTGTTGATCGGTCTCCGCGGTTCAAAAACCAGGTAAACTTCCATTAGTCGCCATTATTGATGACTGCTTAAAACAATGACAGACTTCTTAAAGCTATTGGAATGTCTGCATTGTTCTATAATCTCTCTTTTAAGTAAAGAAGACGATATTCTGCAATTTAAGGCATGAGAAGCTGTTCCTTCTTTGTTGATTTCCTTATGGAAATCATTTTCCATAGAGCAACTGACATGGCCCCGTGATCATTTGAATCTCAAAGTTAGACGAATGGGTTTCTCTTACGGAAAGAAATATGTGCCGCTGATCTTATTTTGAAAAAGATAATTATCACTTTAAACAATAAATGGATTGACTACAATAATATTAAAAGCAATGGATCATAGAGCTGACATTCATGAAAAAATGTCTGTTTGGTGGGATTTCATAGAATCGTTGTTTTAATCTTCTATCAGATAATACAACGATTAAGTCTGAAGTAATTAAAATTAATTAACTAAAATGCAAACACGTCATTTTTACCTTAAATCGGAGAATATCTTCAACAATTTTACTAAATAACATTACTCGAAGCAGCTGTATGGTCAGCCAAAAATTCAATTAATTAAAATAATATAAAAAATAAAATTTTTGTTGTTGTAGTTCACTACTGTTCGAAAAAAACCTCTAAATAACATTCCCATACCAAAAGCAGATAATATAACGTACGTAGCTATTCACCTGGACCGGCGACTAACTTGGCGCAAACATGTTAAATTCAAAACTACAAATGAAGCTCCAAGCCTCTAAGTTGCATTGGCTCAATAATAACAAATCCTCCCTGTGCCTTAAGTATATAGTGCTTTTGTGTAACAGCATCATAAAATCAATATGGACTTATGGTATTCACCTGTTTGGTAATGCTAGTGCTTTAAATATAGAAATTATTCGAAGAGCTCAGTCAAAAATACTAAGAACAAACAGTCGTGCCCCATGGTATATTAGGAATAAAAACATCCACCGAGATCTACAAATTCCATTAGTAAAAGTTTAATTTAATAATATAAGAATAAAATACAATAAAAGGTTGTAAAATATATTAACCCCTAAGCTAGGAGTCTAGCACTTCTATCTACTACTTCCCATCTAAAAAAAAGCCATTAATTAAAATTCATCTACTGAAAGAAGGTAAAAACTCTACTTTTTATTCGTGATCTGATGAAGCTTAATTGTTTTTTTATAAACCACCTAACATTCATTTCAATGAAATTTACCCATTGATTTAAGTAAGGTTCTTAATATAAGATTTCCTTTTGCTATTTTATATTATATAATGTTATGCCTCGTTTTCACTATGTCATTTTCAATGTCAAATATTGTCAGTATAATGAAAACGGATAGTCAATTAATGTCATATTCGTATTTGTGTCATGTGTTGAAAACGCATTTGACACCTCAGTCAATTATAATTGTCATTTAAAATGACATAGTGAAAACAAGGCAATAGTTTCATTGTAAGAGAAGATATAATCCGAGTAAATAAATGTATACGTATAATAATAAGAAAGTCTGATATAAGAAAGGAAGTCCCATATAACTCTCAATTCACGAGTTTGACAATTCGCCAAACATTTTTACAGTTTAAATGGGATAAGTTGCAACACCAACTATATTCTCCAGATCTGATACTTTCTGTTTATTATATATACCGATTTTTCTTGAATTTTTTAAAACAGTAAAACCTCTGCTTGAAATGAGGATGTCAAGAATCATCAGATTTAGTTGTTTGTCAACGATGACGGGGTTCATTAACGTCTACTGGAACATAGTGTCTGTTTAATCTGAGAGCTTTTAAAAAAAATATTTTAATAGAATAAAATTTGTTAGAATACTAATTAAAATTATAAATTAGAATAAAATTATTCTAATAAAGTAATAAAAAAATAAAGTAATAAAAAAATAAAGTTTAATTTGATATGTAATAATATCTATTTAAAAAGGAAAGAGTGTGGTTTAATCAGATTATCTCATAATAATGTTTGAGGTAAGAGATAATATTCAAGTCAATTTATGCGTTACTTAAATATTTATTTACTCAAATGTATCTTTTTAAACTAAATTGAAACAAACTTGAAAAATAATTTCAGCGTAAGGATTTTAATTTTTCCTACCATAAATGACACACTTTCTAACAATTTGTTATGCTATACTACTCAATGAAATAAGAAAAGTATTTAAGCAAATTGACTTGCTCCCACACCCCCACACTTGCCTATCATCATGAAACGGTACTGTCAAGTTGCTAAGCCTTACCAAAGATTTTGACTTTTATAAATTGGTCCCTATGGGAGTTTTCTTGATGTCTGACGTTTTGGTGAAATTTGTGAAACAAGACCTCAACAAGAAAATAAAGTATTTTAATACAGAGCACAGCTGTCGGCGAGATATTATTTACTCAATTTTAATATCTTAATAATTAGTTTTTATATTAGGGTTTACCCAGAAGGGCACTAAGCCCTGTTTAATGTCATCCGCTACTGCTTCGCGTAAATGTTGACCACGCATCGCAAGATTTTCGTCAGCTTCAACAAAACGCATACGCACTAGACCTGTAAAATGTTAAAAATGAGAATAAATTCAAACAAAAATATAATTAAAAATATATTTTTGGAAAAATTAGATACATATACATTATGAAAAAATAAAAATTTTTTCAAAGCCTCACCAATCAAAGCAGCTTTCTCAACACTGGAATGTGCTTGATCTGAGCAATAGGCAACAAGTTGTGCATTGATTTCTGCATCCTGATAGCCAGGATTTTTCTCATGGTAACGCTGTATAGCCCGCGTTCTGCCTGCCAGTAAGCAAACCAATGTCGACTCACTTGCTGTTGTTTGGATAACGCCTCCACCTTTGCTATTATTATGTAAATGTAGGAAATCATCTGGTAAGCCAATCATCTTTCCCAACCAATTCATAACAATTATTTCGAGTTCTGTACAAGCTGGCGAACTGGCCCATGTAAAACCCAAACAGTTAATTGCATCGGCTAACATATCGCCGAGTAGAGAGGGAAATGAATTTAAGGCTGGAAAGTATGCATGCATATGTGGACTTTGCCAATGTGTTATACCGGGCATTACAACTCGTTCCACATCACCAAATATTGTTTCCCAATTTTCACCTTCGATTGGCGCCGATTCCGGTAGCATACTTCTCATATATCCTGGCTTAACGTCAGGGAAAACACGACGATCTCGAATGTTCTCCAAATAGTCAGCAATGTAATCAACCATTTCTTTACCTATAGTGTACGAAGATAAATAAATTTTTTTTTATCTTCTCTTGTAAATCAATAATTATATAAAACTATTTCTTTTTATTAATTACATATGGACCATTCTTTTACAAAGGGACGCCTACTAATCTCATCATCTCCAATAAGGTTGACTTTTTTTATAAGCTACTCCAATTAACATTGAACATCCAAAAATAACAGCATTCAGGGAAAAATTTTTAAACGTTTTAAATTTTTTTCCAAGAGACCCAGTTGCTCCTAAGGAGAGTGAAGCCCCTTATCCCTTCTTTCTCAAGTATGAAAAATATGTACATATTTGATATTACTCATATTTTGCTGTTAGAGAGGAGTAAAATTTCTGCGAATAAGATGGCAAAGTCAACTTTGGTCAGAATTCTTTCCGTTGGTAGAAGAATAGCCCATATACATCCTCTTTTGTAGGGAGAATTCTAAACCATTTTATTATCAAAATAATGCCTGCAGCATGTATAAGCGTATAACACTCGGTTTAAGTAAATTAATTTAATTTTATCTTTTATAAGTGTTAGCTCTGAAAAGGTTGTCCGTGCCGAAAAGGGTTACTTAAAATATTTTCAATTTTTATTCTGGTGGAGATAATAAGCAATATATATTGGTTTGGTTTCGGTTTCTGATCTAGTAAAAATGTCAGTTCTCTTCGATTTTTGGCTCTTGTTCGAAACTGTGGTGGGTTTTTCATCCTTAGAAAAAAATTAAAATTAGTTTCGTCGAGTTTACTTTACTCTAGGGCTACGCGTTAGAATTGTAATGGGAATATGGTTATACTTTAAAAGAAGTGCCAAATGTTTGTCAAATATGCAATATGAATACATAGTGAAAAATTATATTTTCTTGTTTTTCATTCCCCTGGGGGAAGAAGAGTTAAAAATGAGTTACTTTAGTATTAATCGTTTAACAACCGCTGAACATGTTAAAAATGTAGAAACTCACATCATTTCAACTAACAAAATGGTCACATCTAGGGCAATCTAAGTAACAAGTAACTGATAACTGATCTACTAGTGACATTAACATCCATAAAAAGAATCTGTATTTAGCGTACTGGGATATGACAGTCCGTACTTTTTTTAAAATGCCAAAAATATCAATTTCGATAGCCATTATCGCTGGACCCACATTAGTAATGTTTTTAGTTTAACATTACAGAAATGAAATTGGGAGATAAAGGATTTCAACAAAGTTGTTCTACAATAGCTTTCTTTTATAGTATTGGTGGTGTCGGTGTAAATTGACCATAAATATCATTCGATTCGATGTATGCTACATGGTTTTTTTTTGATGATTCAAAGGATCGTATGTGCAATATTTAAACTCTTGAATGATTGAATACGATTATTCGTTCGATTATGGGCCGAACTGATTATGGCTATTTATGTACTATCAGCTCATCGAATATTATCGCAAAATAATCCAGAGCTGTGAGATGTCTTGTGGAAAGCAAATGAATGAGGTTATATTTTATATTTGATGGAAAGTTCCAAACAATTTATTTAAATGAAAATCTGAACGAAATCTAAACTAAAGTTGTTTTTAACCGTATACTTATATTTGAGCTCTTAGCTATATCCAATGATATTTCAAACTACTTCCAAATTTATAACTATTATTACAGTGTAACCTTATAATTGTATCTGAACCTTTTAGCTTTATTCAATAGTATTAAAAGTTATGTTACATCCAAAATTTTAACAACCTATCCAGTTTTAAATGATAATGTCATAGAAAAAATAATTAGCAGAGCTGTTGATACGCATATTTCTGTAACTACAATACATTCTTCTCGGTAAATTTATGAAGGACACGAAAGAGCATACGAATGTGTTAATGTTATATGATATATAATATCGTAACATACCAAAATTCATACTATACCTATACTTTTTATATATATTTTATTTTTTCTCTTTTATTTTATTATATTGAGGAACGAAAAATTCTGTATTTAAGTTTGATTCGGTTCTACCAATGATTCAAAGGCACCCACCATGGGCCTCTGCAGTACCAGTACCAGTAGTAGGTTTTATGTGGCTGAAGACGTTATGGATTTAAATCGAAGAGCAGTCGTTGTGAAAACCGAGTGTGTACATATTGTATATGAAAATATATTAACTATAGATGCATATACTGACGTCTAGAAATTGATGATACTTATTTTTTGACAATAAAGTATAAATTGTAACATAATATACTTTGCATCATAGTTCACGTTAAGAGACAGGCAATATATCTAGAGTGTTATATCGAATAAATTATTCACAAGTAATAAACATATCGTCTAAGATTTATCAATTGGAAATGAAGAATACACTAAAAGTGAATTTCGATTTAAAAAGTTACTCCACATTTACTAATCAAAAACGACATATAATTGTATACCTCTGCGATCCCCCCTCAAAAAACAATTTAGTAAATTATTTACCAAAATTTATTAGTTTTTAATCTGTAATCTGCAAATCCCTAATGGTTCAATTTTTTGGAATAGCCAAGCTGCCTTAAATCACTGATAGCCACTTCAACCATATCAATTATTGCTCAAAATTGCCTCAGTAACTTCCGGTACATATGGACATCTCGGGCAACTGTAGGACAAATGAGATTGTGAAGGCAGGCACTTTTCTCCCCTACATTTACTTCTCAAGTAAAGGTATTCCACTTGCTACAGTTAAACTGGCAATTAAATAAACATACCTGAGCATAGTCAAGCAACATTGGGCTGACGAACACAGTGTAATATAAGGGGCTTAGCTATATTCATAGAATGGTCAGGTTGCTTTTCTTTTATCTAATGGAGGAGTTGTTACCTTTTTCGGCGTTGGTCGTATACTGACCTTTAAGTCTATGTACGTACCAACACTATTCCTGTGGTAGCACAATGGGCTACTATTTGAACACAAGTGAGCTTTTTGGATACAAGGTCGCCACTCCAATCTATCAACCAATCTAATGTATAAGAAAATTTCTGGATGTGCCGCGTTGGAAGTAAATTTTTGACTATGGGTTTATAAACTTAAATATATTACCTCAACTAAAATATGCATAAATAAAAAAGTATTGAGATTTCTTATAAGAAATCAATGTATTATATTGATTTATTTTTATACACGGAAATGTTAGCTTGTTTAGAGACTTGTTATTATTCAAAAACATAACTATTTTTGAAATTTCTGACATATTGCTTTCACATTTTAAAATAAATTGTAAAATTTTAAATCAATTCCCTTTCATTGTTGTAGTGAAATCCTTTAAAATTTATATACCATTAAAGGGCAACAGGATTTTTGCAAATCAAATTAAATGAATTTTTATATGCAAATTAGCTTAGACCGATTAGAGCCATGAATATTTTGTATATGTTACTTCAGCACTTCGCAGAGAGTAAACTGAAATTTACTACTCTGGTTACACGGAGGAGGAGAATGCCTTTTAATGCCAGTGGTTCCTTGCTCAGGCAGTGATTCAAGGATTGACCGCTGTGATTTTATTGCATGGGACAGTGTCTATTTACTCACTTAATTCCAGACTAAACGTTTTATTGCATTCAACATGAACATAAAAATGATATTAGAGAAGAAATGTATATGAGATGAAATAGAATTTAGGACAGTAACTTACCTCTTTGACGATATTCTGCAAAATCCATTTCAGCTGCTGTGACTAATTTTATTAAAATATTTTCGAGCTGCGTCGTGAAGATATTTTTTGTGGCAGTTCTGAACAAATTGTCGCAAACGATTTTTACCGAATAACCCAATTCTCTATTGTAACTAGTTTTGCACTACAAAAAAGAAAATCTAAAACATTTTTTAATTTAATTTTTTTTTTTATTTTTTTTACTAATTCATGTATTGTTTAAATATTTACTTAATTGTTTTACTACTTAAAAGTGGCACAAATTGACTTTAACTCTTTTTTTATGGATTAAAAGAATTCTTTGGAAGTACTTTAACTGTGCCAGAAAAACTTTTACTAAAAACATTAACATTCGTTAACAATACGAACAACGATCCATACTATCCATACTATCCATACCATCCATACCATCGATACCATCCATGTTGAATAATGACACAAAAAGAATTGAACGTACTAGTATCTTTTATGGCTTCTGCAATGCAAAATTTTGAATGGAAATAACAAAAACAAAGCCGAAAATCTAATAAAATGTGAATGAATAATAAGAATTTTCCAGCGTACGAGTATGACAGCTGCGAAAATATTTTCTGAGGAAACTCACTGTCATAGTTGGTCAAAGTACGTTCTACGTATAGGCCGTACTCATTCAAATTAACCCTAGTTAATTATAATATATGTACAATTCGCAGAAACCCACTTACAATTGTTTGAGAGTATTAGAAGGGTTAAGGGTTGGCTGCAAATGATTTATTCATTTGAAGTTTACTATACTGGTTGACTGACAGGTAAGCTACTAGAGAAAATAGCTACTATGAAAATAATCGCATAACTATTGGATTTGTCTGCCGGTGTCAATTACATGTTTTTCTTTTTACTTGTAAAATAACATAAATATAGTACATTTGTTGTGTATCTACTGTGAATAGTAATAAAGTCTATTAATAAACATTTGTAAAACTACTTTCGGTTTTCACACAGAAATACGTAAATATTTTTCATCATATTTATTGGTAAGCTATAGCACAGACAACTTATATGATTTGCATATAATTTTTCTGTGATTATATTCTAAATAAAGGAACGAAATCTGTTCTATTAATTATCATATGTATAAACTTGAACAGTTAAAAATATACAAATTACTACAAATCCAGAAGGTTTATATCATATATATTGATTTGAAGAAAAAAATCATATATTAGCATTATATCTAATGCTAAATGGCAAGGAATATTTTTTGGGAGCTTGAACCCATAAAAAACTTTCAGTTAAAAAATTGTCCATAAACCAAAAAAGTTCATTTAAACCTCCCTTATAACACGGTATTTCTGAGTTATCCTGAGAAACAATACCTTGATCCAACATATGAAAAATCGCATAAGAGTTCAGTTCCATCTTCAATATTTACTAAGATATAAAGTTTCAAAAAAAGTTTATGAAAAAAGTTTAATTTGTGAAAAAACTTTCAATATATATATACAGCTTATATACGCCATATAAACATAGCATATCGACATGTTTCGTCAAATAGTTTCTTTGTCCCAAAAATGAAAAATATCGTATTGGAGATTAGTAGCATCTTCAATATTAACTGAAATACAGAGTATCAACTTTTTTGTGAAGATTTCTCTTTGTAGATGCTCTGTATATCAGGAAAGATTATTAGGATAGCAACTGCTTATCCATGTGATTTTCAGTTTTTTGGATCAACGATTTATTTTTCGCAATAAGTGGGAAATACCCATTTACACTGGCTTTTAGAAGACAGTTTGAATCAACCGTTTTTGATATATTTATGATTTATGGACTAAACGTTTATTATATTGTACACAGTTTTGAACCCTTGTATTTCGATAAGTAAACAAAAGATAAATCTCCTACTCTTGCAGTTTTGTGCTGTGCAACAATATTAAATCCTTAAACCACAAAAGCCCTTCTATTCTTCCTAAGCTAGTCATCGTTAAACAGGGGTCAGTAGGAATTCAGTAAGAATTTTTTAATAAATAGTTAACTTATAAAAGTTTATATTGCATATAAATTTATAATATATTTGTCAGTAGTTTAGGATTTAAAAACATTGCTGGTCTCTTTATTATATAGATTCAGAACTAGTTTCACAATGCACAATTTAGTTAAGTAATCACTAAGTGTTCGATTTTGGGCACTAAGTGACTCTTAAAGTTTAAATGTACACGACTTTACATAGTTATAAATCGGCTCTGAAGTATGTATTATGTTATAAGTAAACTAACATAAATATCAGTTTATAAATTTTAATAACATAATATTAAATTAAAAATAAATATTTATAATATTAATATTTATTAAATTAATACTTTATTAAAAATATTGATTGAATGAAATAGATTTGTAGAAAAAGAAATAGAATCATGCGTGAGCAGGAGAACTTGAAAATTGTGTTTAAATATTATTTTAAAATACTATAATATTTAGACATTTTTATAATAAGATACCAAAAGAATATTGTTGAAATATTTTTATTAATAATTTTGTTTTTCAACGGGCCAATTTTCAATAGTTAAATAATAAACTTTTAAAATTCTTTTCGTTTTTTTTTTAAAAATTTCATATAAACCTATCACCTGATAGTAAGCTGATGGTGACTATAGAATATAGTTGAAATATCGATTAAAATAAAATCTTTTTAAAAAAAAAATTTATTGTTTTAACTATTGACCAATTACTCCGTTTAATAAAAAAATAATTATAAAAAAAAATAGCAATAAAATAATATATATTAAATATATTAAATAATAAATTGTTTGAGCGGGCTAATTGGTCAATTTAAAAACAAAATAAAAATTATAATGTATTATTTATATATCAACAAGTTATATTTTATTAAAATATTATTCCTATATTTTGACTATCTTCTATATCTTCATCAGAGAAACTCTTTCCTAGAGTTTTCTTCAGTTTCGCTGAAGTTGAAGGGAAAATATTAGTCGCAAGATAGTCGAAATAATAGAATAATATTATAATAAAATATAACTTGTTCAAATATAAATAATAAATTATAGTTTTTATTTTGTTTTTAAATTGACCAATAAATAAAAAAAATTTTTATATAATATTTTAGGTCACAAAAAAATAATATAATATTTTAAAATATATTGAATTTTAGAAATAATATTTTCTTCTTAAAATAACAGAAGTCAAATTCCAACTCACGCTCTCGAATTTATTTATATTGTTATAATCTAGCCCACAACGTGTGAAATTTTTTTATTAATTTTTTATATAGTATGTACTGTAGACATTGCATGGAGGATGGGAAGAGGAATCACCAATACATCTTTTGTTATAGTGCCTTGCTTTCGCAAGACATAGACTTTCTTACTTAGAGTCACACTTTTTCAATTCGCTAAGAGAGCTAAATTCTATTTCCCTAGCTCGTATCAAAATGGTTATAGTGATAGGTGTCAAATTCTTAAGGGTATCACAATCAAAGTACGTCTTCGGGCGGCCCCAGTAATCTAATCTAACCTATATACCTAACTAAAAACCAATTAAAATTATTTCTTATAAGTATATATCCTTTTTGAAATTATGATATTTTTAATAACCACTTCACCATAATTTTGTTTATGTAAAGGATTATTGCAAGAATTAACCGCTTTGGTGTGTATCGACAGGTCCGGTCAGCTTGCTAACTTCTTCTTCAAGATATTTTAATTTTTATTCAAAACCTTTATATTAACTAATTTAACACTATAACAATATATAAATTTATATTCAAATAAAATAATAAATGCCTCTATTTGGTAATAATTAATATCGAAACAATGTTACGATTTCTGATAATATATATACGAGCAATTAAGAAAAAATTAATATTAAAGACTTTCTATTACATACATCAATAGTTATATATAAAAAATAATGTACAAAAAAACAAAAAAAAATATATTGATGTTATTAATTATAAGGCAATATATAGGCAATTTTTTTTAAATAGTCAATAAAAAGTTTTTTATAAAAAAATAATGTCAGTTTTATTGGTTTTCGCAGCCCTTTTTTCTGAAAAAATAAAATGCTTTTATTCATTTTAAAATATGTATTAGTATAATTTTTTAATATATGTAAACATTTATTAATTAGCAAAAAAATATTTGCTAAAAGTTTTTTATATGATCTGGTTTTTTTTTATTTTTTTTTGTTTTTTTTTTTGCAATTTATCTAGCATTGAGCTGAAATCTTGTTTTGAAGATGGTGCGATATTAGTTACACTCTCTGTTATATATTATATAAATAATTCATTAGAAAAATAAAACATAAAATATATGAATAATTTTTTATTTGTTATTTTTTATGCAGACATAAAAATTTAAAATATTTATGGATTGTTTTTATGTTTAAATAGTCTGAAAAAAAAGTGTTTCACTTAAAATTTTAATATTTCAACATAATTTTTTGCACTAATCGTCTAGGCGTATTTTTTATGGATTAAGGTCTAGTCCCTTAGACCTTAATCCATAATAAATAAAACACTGCACTTAATAAGAAAAGCTAAATATAAATTTATATTAAAAAAAATAAATATAAAGATGGATACTTTATATTTTAATATATTAAATATAATATAATATAATATATATAATTTAATATATATATTTATATATTAATATTATATTTATATTAAAATTATTTAAAAATAATTTTACAATAAAAACTTACCTGAAGTATAATGAAATTTTAAACAATTTTATTTTAATTTTGTTTATTGATAAATTATCTTTTTTCTACAGATTCATAATGTATCTTAAACCAAAAACCACAACCATTAATTTTAATAGCAAAAGCTACGATTCAAAAACTCAGACGAAAACGGACCACATTTGCGAAATTGTTGAGACGAACTGCAATCCTTCGTGAGGCTATGTTCCTTTTTATACTTTCTGACCGTAATCGCCTATTTTTTTATTGTTCTAAAATTGCTATCCCGATTGGCTATTGAGGAATAAGTAACAACCAACAAAAGGGTGGAAATACGGAATGTCCTTTTAGTCACGCTGTAGGGATAAGGCAATAAGAAGGCAACTGTTTTATGCTTGTTAGGGGAAGCAGCAAATATGTTGGCCAATCAGAATTCACCGACATAGACGTCATTGAACAGGA